TGCACAAGCTTGTTAGGTAGGTCATTTGCTGCTTTCCTCCATTCCTCTTGCCTTCAGTATGTTCTGTCAGTGTCAAATTTCCCAAGACCTCTTTCCTTATTATATTCCTTAGAAATTTCATTTATTGCTTTTTGATTCTAAGTATAAATGTTCATTTTGTTTTCATTTTCCCTAAAACTTTGTTGTTGTTCAAATGTTCAGGCCATGGTATTCTCAGCATTCTTCTGTAGGACTGTATTTCTGTTGTCAAGCATTCATTGCTACATAGGAAGATCAACATTACATGATAATTCAGCACTATTTTCTTTGTTTCTAATAAAATTTTCTTGTTTCTTAATCCTTTCCTTAGCATTTGGGAGGTATCTTTTACTATAGCAATGCATGCTACCTTCAGATTTTGCTATCACATTTTATGTCCTTTGTTTAAACACTTCCTAGATATTTAAATTTTTGTACTTACTTGATTTTGGTATCTCCAGTTTGTAGTTCACATCTTGGACCATGTTTGCTGACAACCATACATTTTGATTTCTTACAATTGATAATTAGTCCTTTCTTCCCATTTTTCTTTAATATCTTCTGTAGGAGTTTCCTTTTTGTGTCTACTCTCATCAGTGTTATCTGCATATCTAATAAGATTTTGCTGCCAATAATGAATCCTGGTAGGACTTCTAATTCTATCAGAATGGCCCCACTTTATAGGTTAAATAAATCTGGTGAGAAAATACATCTTTGTCTTATGCCCTTTTCTATTTTTGTGTATTTACTGAATTCATTTTCTATCCTCATTAGTTTCTGGATTATTCTAATATCCTTTCCAAATAATTCCTAGTAGTTCTAACGGTTCTTGTGATGTAAGCATTATGTAGGGTTTGCAAATTTGGTGAATATCTTTTATTTTCTATCTACATAGATGCCAAATTGTTTCATATTAATACTTTTCTATAAACATGATAGATTTTGTTATGTTACAAAATTTGGTTAATGTCTTCAGAAGATTAGATACCAAACCTCATGGAATTTTACCCAACAACCTTTTTCCTTGATATTTCAAGAAGGGACTTTTATAATTTATTTGTAATGTGATTAACCATTGAAAAAATTGAGCAATTTTTTTTTCATCTTAATAATTTGAATCAATTTCCAAACGACTTTTAAACAATGAAAAATATGTTGTAAAGATCATTTATTTTTTTACAACATCAAATTTGTAGCTAGCCACCAAGGATAAAATATTTTCCTAAGTATATAATGAGTACATATAAAATATATGGTCATCAGTTGCACTTGTCACTGAATGTTCTGGAAAATTTGAAATCACACTAATCTTTAAGCTGATGATATTAATTTAATAGAGCTATAAATATTATTTACCCTATTTTTCAACATTATCAAATTTGTGAATAGATAAAAAGTTGAGTGACATGAAATTTGAGTTTTTAGCTGGTCTTTTTTGTAAATGATTAAACCAATTTAAATTGCTGTAATTTCCAAACTACTTACAAAAATAAAATTTATACAGTTGTAAAGACAAATGATATGAAGTTGATTCTAAGGATGAAGTATTTTTTCTTTTACGTTACAATAGCATAGGTTGATAATGCATGTGAAGTACAGAATTTTAAACTGTCAATGATATTTAATAGTAGTAGAGAAAGAAAAAAATGTTTCTTTGACTATACAAAAGCATTTGATTGGGTACAACACCAAGAGCTATTTAAACTGTAAGGAAAACTTAATTTATTTGGGAAGGATATTAAAATAATCTAGAACAAACTGCCTGCATACAGATAGAAAAGGAATTGAGCAAGTACCCAAAAAATAGAAATGGGTCATAAGACAAGGATGCATCTTCTCACTAGATAAACCTTTAGAGAAAGGTGATCTTAAGAAAGCTATAAATTCTACCAGGAGTAATAACTCCTGGTGGGCACAATCTTAACATAAGATATGAAGATGACATTGTGTTGATGGAATGTGTGAAAAGAAAAGAATGAACTAAGCATTAGTTGTAAGAAAACAAAGTATGATCATTAGTGTGACGTCCCTCTACCGCCTTCGCTCGCTCCTTGCTGCTTCGTTCGGGTGTCGCCGCTCCAAACGTGACGTCCGCCTGTCTGCGTCAGTCGTGTTGTCCCGTCCCGTGACGATCAGCTGGCTTGGTATTGGTCACGGCACCCAAATGTGACGTTCTAACCTTTTGGTGATTCGGATGGGAATCTGGTCAGATCCGATATCAGCCTCATCGTTCCCAACTCACTTCCAACGTCTGGTTACCAAAGTAACTGCGTTGATCTCCAGTCCTACCCACGTTGTGAATTGATCTTAAGCAGACGAAATCAATCAGTCGTTGGAGCCGTAATGCAAGCTGAGTTCAAACGAGGGTGGTATCACACAAATATGTATAAAAGAAAATAAAATAATAACTCAAAAGTTCAAGGTATCAAAAAAAGGATAACAATACTTTATATCTGGTTGCTGAATACATAGGACTGCCTTTATCTCCCGACCCGCTATATGGATTGTGACACGTTGTTTTTGTTAGGTGAGTTTTAACATCTTAAGTTGTCTGTTCTTTAAGAAATTGGTTCTTGGTGTGACTTCAGGTGATAGTCGTAACACTTGTGTTGGTAGTATGAATCTAAGTCGCTCTTCAAAATAAATTGTTCTTGGATTGAAGATGAGTTCGGAAGTTGCGCGAATCTTTCAAGTCAGCTCTGCGAGGTCCGCTTCAACTGAGCACTAGAGACTGAACTCTGGAAAACCGGAGTCCGAACTGATTTTCGCTCGCTGCGACTTTGCTTATATGGACGCCGACGAAAACCGGGGTGGGCTTTGTCGGGGTTTGAGGTTCCTTGATAATTCTAAATCCATATCCACTTCTTTTATTTTCGGTCAAGAATTTTCCACTCCTTTCCATTTTTGGAAGTCTTCTCTTACTCCCACCTTCTCTTATTCTCATATGGATATCTCACCATACTTCGGAGGGGCGTCAACAGTTCTCCCCACTTCTTCGTAGCAACCTCTCATATCTAACTAACCTCTAAATGGGCGGTGGCAGGCTTCCCCCCTTGCGTCACGTGATCACCTCCGCCTGGCCCTCGTTGACATTCGGCCAATGGCGTCCAACCGGGTGGGTGTGATCCGGCTAGCTTTGTTTTAAGAAAAAAATATATCTTGGTCAAAAAAAAAAAAAAAATTATCTTTTTCTTTTCCTTTTCTTTCCTTAATCGCAGCTCTCATCCCCAATGTCACCTGGGATCTATCAATGCCAATTATCAAGTGGTTAGTTGTCTAGCAAAACACAGCCAATTTCCGTCCCGAAAAAACAGTTTCATTGTCCTAGCCGTATTTGCATTCTTGGTGCCAATTTCTGATAACATAGTTTTATTATCATAACCGAATTCTAACACCCATAGATGTCTTGTCAAAACGGCAAAGACTTAACCCAGGGTTGGCTTCGTGTGCGGTTAACAGATGACCTATTAAATCCTTTCCTGACAATATTGTTTGCAATGGCAATGAAACCTTTCACCATTTGTTACTATCAAAATAACATTGTCAATGTCCCGGTCGTGGGTGGTTTCCTTTATCATCTAAGCTTAAGTCTCGCCTCTCTTTTCCTTTCTTTACTTTCTCTTTTTCCTTTCCTTTTTTTCTTTTTGTGCCCCTAAATGGTGTCACATTAGCAATAGGGACTGTTATTGTTCTATATACTTATGTATTGCCCAGCACAGGAATTGAACTCACAACCACCAGATAATAGAAACTAAAGTTTTGTTGTTATTGGATTGGCCTATCTCACCTGTTCTTTGCAATGGGTTCTGTCATGGAGCTCAATATACGCCCATGGTATTGCTTTCTGAGAGTGAACATTCATTTGCCTAATGAATCCTTGACAGACCACTTCAACAGGGACTGCCAAAAATGTGAGCAACAAAGTGGCAATGTTATAATCCAGCAAATACAAAAATTCAACTATCTGGGAATTGTTTTAACAGACAATGAAAAATGTGGCACAGAAATCTTAAAGCATTTTAGAACAGTAAAAGATGCCTTCCAAGAACTAAAAAAAAGTATTAAAAAGTTGGAAAATGTTGTTAGAAACAAAGATGAATGTTCTACTGTTATGTAATATCAATTCTCTGATATTAGCAGTAAATGCTGAACAATTTCATCAAAGATGAAGAGGAAACTTGAGGCAACAGAGATGTAGATCTAAAGAAGGATGCTGAGAATATGGACAAAATTGAGCATTGAGGAAGTTTTAAGGAAAATGGTAACAAAAAGGACACTTCCTACTTAGGAAGAGGTGGTTGATATTTCTGGGATACACAGAAAGATAGAGAAAGAGAGCTTTGAGAATTTCATATTTACAGGACATATTGAATTTGAGAGAGACACACGCAGACACACACAGGAATCCTAGTTATCTAGTTGTGTAAATGGATTGCATAACAGGGAATGGGAGGGTTAGGAAGTTGTGGAGTGCCATAATCATCCACCTCCTAAAGGGACATGACACCTAAAAGAAGACTGCAAGAGCTGTAAAATAGTCATTGTCAGGTGCCTATGAATTAATTTTTTTCTTTGATTAGTCCACTTGGATGCCAAATTCAAGATCAGTTGTCCAACTTGATTTTAAAATAAGTATAACATTAATTCTACTTTAGATTGGCAATTTATTTTCACTTGAATTTATTTTGATTTATTTTTTCTCCTTCTGATGATGCTGATTACAAATTAGAATATTCAATTAAATTTTCATCTTGAAATTCACTTGTCAATTCATCTTTTCATTTTTTTCATACTAAATAAGACATGATTATCATGTTTTACTGACAGAAAATTGAATTTGAAAATATTGTTAAGCATATTTGTAACAAAAAAAAATTCTTGAAAAAGCTCATTTGAGAGTTTTAATGACATGACTTTGGATTGAGACTATCAAAAGTTCAGTGCAAAATAACTGTTGAAATGCTTTTGGTTTGCTTTTTCAGGTCTTCAACATATATATGGCTGGAAGACACTTGTGCTCACGCAGGTACAGAGAATTTGATTGTCTTCATGGCCAGTTAAAAAGAGAATTTGCAGATTTCAATTTTCCCAAACTTCCTGGCAAAAAATTATTCACATTGTCCGACCAACAGCTGGATGCCAGACGCCGAGGACTTGAGCAGTATCTGGAAAAAGGTTACTAATATTTTTTATTTATTTTTATTGTTTTTCTCGTAAACTTAAAATTTATGACAATCATTTATTTTCTTAATTCCTTTTCTTGAATGCCAGAAAATTCTTTTTTATGTAAGAGATTTAATTAAAAATGCTGGCAATTGCAAGTTGTGACTAATTTAACTCAAGACATTTTTATAACAAATGATCCTGCAGTTTTTTTTTTTTTTATTATAATTAAAAATAGACATATGTTATTTGTAGCCTTTTTTTAGTGTTTCAGCTGAAATTTCAATGTTATATGAATTTTTGTCATCTTCTACAGGATGAAAGTTACTTTATTGTAATTTTGTTTTATTAACACATTTCTGTTAAATGTATTTGTGAAGCTTGGCTGGAATAGTTTTTTGAAAATTTTAACAAAAATGGAACAAGTACAATCTATCCAAGTACATTAAAGGGTTCAGCTTTAAATTCCTTGAAGGTTACTCAGGTTGACAAGCACTTGATGAAGACTGAAGGGCATAATGGTCAAAGCATGATAACAACAAAGATGAGTGCAATAGTCCATGTGTGTAAATAATAACTCCTCATTCTAGAAATTCAGACAGAAATTTTGACTAAGTAGCTTTTTTTTCTGATTATAGCCAATTATCAGTGACAAATATTTTTGTTCTAAAGTTTATCAACATCCAACAGCTGTGAGAAAAAGTAAATTAAAAATTTAATTTTAAATATTTGAATTTACTCAGGTGTGGTACACCAGCTGGTAGATTTTGGTAGAGGTTATTGTGACATTCTCAATTCTTTCTCCCTCTCTCAGACAATCTAGGACTGTAGGTAAAAAAAAAATATCTTCCAAAATAGAATCCAAATAATAATCTTAATTTATCTATTTGTTATCCAATAAAATAGGTGTCACACAATGATTTTGATAAAATAATAATAAGAAAGTTGATATAATGAATAAGTTACAATAATAATAAGCTACAACAAGTTACAATAGATATGATAATAATTTGATAAGTTAATTTGATGATGATAATAATGATAATAATTTGGTAAGTTGATGATGATAATAAATAAGTAGATATATTTATTTTGATATTAATATAAGGAAGTATATATTTCAATAGAAAGAAAGCTTCATATACATTATTTTGTAGAGTGATGTATGTGCTGACAGTGGAGTCCAGATGAATCTGTTTGATTTCTTTCTCTCAACTGTAATAAGCTGTAACTTGTCCTGACATGTTTCTTAAATAAGATTATATTTAGAATGACTTTCAAAGGAAATAAGTAAATGAGACCGAGAAGCAGTCTTTATATTTTGTTTAATTTAAAAAGGGTATTTCTATAAATGACCTAATTTTATGAAAGTTTCTATACAGAAAAAGTATAATGAAAATGGAAAGCAATTGTGTATGTTTTTATATATATATATATATATATATACATACATGCACACACACACAAATTGATTCATAAGTCAAGTCTATTAATTAAAAAGTAATAAAACTGACACTTAATTATAAAGTATTATTTTGTTGTTCTATATCTAATTTTACAAGTATGCAACTTTGCTGAATGAGGATGAAAGCATTTTTATAATTTACAGTGAAAGTGAAATAAGAGATTGTGTTGTCTATTGGTATCGATCGGTCTTAATAAGAGTGAAAATACTAATGATAGCCAGCAAATATGGCTGCCACAGAAAAACTGGTTTATTTTGCAAGATTTTTTTACAAAATTTAATTGGAATTGATTTTTGAGAATTATTGATTTTTAATGATTAGATGGGTTTGTATTTTCCCTCCAGACATTGAATGTGAATGTATCCACACACACACACACACACACACACACATATCTATTGGTTCTCAGAAATGATGATGATGATGAATGTGCACATAAAATTTGTTAATACACAAGTGAACACATTCATGTACTCACATAAATGTATCTTTATGTGCAATCATATTCAGAGGTACACGTGAAAAAAAAAAAAAAAATCAAAATTTTACACACAATGGCCATTCCCTCCCCATGTGTGTGCTAAATTATAGTCTCATTTGGCTGCATACACTATTATTATTGGGTGTGTTAGAACTGCAAATATTTGCAACATGGAAGAAAAAAAAACTAACCAAAAATGTGAGCTTTCAGTCTTTTTAGCTTTTCTTTCTTTCTCAATTTGTAGAATAGAAGAAAGAAAAAAATTCCCGCACACGCTCTTTTATCTCAGTTGTTTTCTCCTTTTAAAAACTATTATTTCCTCTTTAATGTAGTGGAAAAACAAAAAGTTACCAACATCTTGCTTCTTATTTTGTTTTTAAAGATGTTTCTAAATTTAATGTGGTTTCTTGCCTAAACAAAAGTTCAGGACCAGCAACTGCCAAATAGAGTTATGGAACATTTTCAAATCTCTCATTCTATTTTGTCAAACCTTTCCAATGTAGCAAATATTAGCTCCTTTTTTTTTTTTTCTTTCTTTTGCTTGTTCTTCATTATAGCAAATGATATCTGTCAACATTCATTAAGGCCATTTGGTTCATTTTCTTAGCTTCTGTCATTTCTTTTTTCTGTTTCATTATTTCTTTTTTCTGTTTCATTATTTCAAATTTTAAAAGAAACTTCAGTGAGTTCCCTCCAAACTGTTTTGCTTATATAATATTTTAATACTGATATTCTCCGACCCTCTTCAAGTGTGGCAGGTTTCAGTATGCCAAAGTACTAAATGACCTTTTAGCAGAATTTTAGCTTAGATTGTGTGTGTGTATATATATATATATATATATATATATATATATATATATATATATATATATATATATATATACACACACACACACACACACGTTGAGAAGTTTTCAACCTAACCAAGAAGATCTTTCAAAAATATTTTGAGATTTGGTCATATTTTGGAAAGTGGGTTGGGCTGAGAACTTTTCACCCCCCTCCACCTTTATACTTGCTTTATACATATTTTATTTTGTCACTTATTACATACCAAGTCATTAACCATATCTCAGATGTTTAATAATCAGTTTGTTGGATTATTAATTTTTTTATGGTAATGTTTTAAATCCTTATCAGATAAGTTATCTCACACTTACATTCTCTTTTCAATAAAGCAGCATTCAGAAGAGACAAAGCTTCTTGGCTCAATTGTGTTCACCTTTTTTATTCATTCTACTTGATTGTTCTTTCTTATACGATTATTAGTGCAAAAGAATAATCATAAAACCAAAAGAATCCTTGGGTTAAGTGAAAATAGTTTTGTAAAATCACTCACACCAGGGTGCATAAAATACTAACGGGAATACTTCTGTTAGTTAATATCTTGTGCAAAACAAACAACTGCAACATTGCTTGCTCAAAAGTCAATGTTGCTCCAAGTGACAAATGTAAAATATGGAAGGCCATTTCAGAAGAGTTCAGCTTTTACATTACTTATTTGATTTGAATAAGAAGTAAATGTTTATTTTAATGGTTATCTAAGGACTAAAGTATGATGTTTGTCTACAGAAACACAAACGTGAACAAGCAGGGATATCTAGCATTATCCAGAGGAAGAAATAACTTCAAATATAACAACATTGGGTGGGGGTTGGGGAAGAAGTTTCACATATTTGTTTTTACACAAGTCCATCAGACAATTGGCATAATAAACTGTATAACAAAACTTATCCTAATACTGATGAATAGAGTATGCAGCAGAATTACACTGGGAATTGGAAATAAGAATAATAATGTGGTTTTATTAAAGACACTGGAACAAGGAATGTAATATTTATGCTTAGAATGATATCAGCATGATAAATAAAATAAAAATGCAAAAAGATGTATACTTATGTATTATAGATTATGCAAAAGTGTTTGAGATAATATATTGCAAAGAACTGTTGGAACTGCTAGATATCTTTGACATATTTGTGAAGGATATTGGAATAATCCAGAACCTAGACTGAAAGAAAACTGCATGCATACTGATAGAAAATGAATTCATTAAATATACAACAAATAAAAAGGAATGTATGACAAGGATGTGTTTTGTCATTGGACTTATTCAACCTATACAGATACAGTGAGGTGATTCTGAGAGAATTAGAAGTCCTACCAGGATTTATTATTAGCGACCACAATCTTAACAACATAAAATATACAGATGACACAGTGTTGATAGCAGACACTGAAAGAAAACTGCAAAAACTCCTACAGAAGATAATGAAGGAAGGTGAGAAGAAAGGTCTAAACATTAACTGCAAGAAGACAGAATGCATGTTTCTCAGCAAAAGGAAGATGCAAATTACAAATTGGAGATACCAAAATCAACTAAGTAAAGCAATTTAAATATCTGTCAAGTGTTTTAACAGAAGATGAAAAGTGGGACACTGAAATTCGAAGGTTCATTGGGATAGTTAAAAATGCCTTCCAAAAGCTAAAAAAGTATTAAGAAATTTGAAAGTTTCGTTTGAAACAAAGGAAAGAGTATTGAAATATTATGTAATGTCAGTCGTTCTATATGGCATTGAATGCTGGACCACCATCTCACAAATGAAGAAGAGCCTTGAAGCAACAGAGATGTGGTTTTTCAGAAGAATGCTGAGCATACCATGGACTGAATATGTGAGCAACGACAGTTTTAGAGAAAATAGAAAGAAAAAGGACACTTAGAATCAGAAAAATAATTGAAATTTTAAGGGCACATAATGAGGAAAGATGGCTTGGAAAATTTGACCATCACAAGACATGTTGAAGGCAAGAAAGACAGTGCAAAACCTACATAAGCTTGTGTAAATGGATGGCAGAACCAGGTTTAGGAAAGATAACAAAAAGACAAAATTTACTAAGAGCTTTAAAGGACAGGAAATTGTGGAGAGCCATGATCACCAACATCCTAAATGGACACTGTATATAGAAGAAAGCTCTATATGCCTACTTTGAATTTTGAACCTCAAATAAATAAATTTTGTTTTATAGTTTATATCCTATTTTCAAAGATATTGAACCAAGTTTAG